TGGGGAGTATGGTGGATGGTAAAGCACTTCCCAGCCCCATCACTTGAACAAATCAGTCACAGCTCGCGCTGCATGCGGCCGAGCATTGTGATGCAAAATGAGAGGAGAGCTCTGCAGAAAGTATCGCCGTTTTTTTCTCAAAGCTGGTCGGAGATTGTGCTCCAAAAATGAGCAGTAATACTGCGCAGTGACGGTCTGCTATGGGGGAACGGCATGCGTTAGGATGACACCATCACAGTCGTACACGAGAATCACCATAACTTTCACATTGCTGGGGTTCTGACGAAATTTCGAACATCGTGGTGACCCGTGATGACGCCATTCGCTTGATTAGCGTTTCAGTTCTGGCTGGTACAATCAGGCCCAAGTCTCATCCAACGTAATGATACAGCGTAAAAAAGCATCTCCTTCGCGCTCATAGCGCTCCAGGTGGATTCGGGCAGCATCGTATCGTAGCCATTTCTGCATTTCCGTCAATTGATGTGGAACCCATCGTGAAGCAATTTTTCTCATGGACATGCGTTCGTTCAGAATGTGCAGCACAGTTGTATGCGCTAATCCTGCTTGTCCGGCCAGCTGACGAATCGTTTGGCGGCGATCACTGTCCATTAAAGCGGCAACAGCTTGCATGTCTACATCGCTGACATTAGGACGACCTGGCCGCAGCATGTCTGCCACGTTTTGGCGTCCTTCATTGAATGCTTTCACCCATCTTGCTACGATTTTGTAAGGCAATGCAGATTCTCAAGCCTCTTGAAGCCCTTGATGACACTGTCCTGCTGTACGACCTCTGACACTTTCAATTTTTATCCAACAACATTGTTCTTGTTTTGAAAACATCCTGACAACACATACTTTAGACCGCGAGCTAATACAAGGATCCGTTCTTCGCGTCACTCCGCATGCGCGTGACGTAGGCAGGACGAGTCTTTTTGCTGAGAGGTAAGGTAGGTATGTAATTTACGTGTGGTATACGCGATATTCTTTTGGTTTTGTTGCGTAGGTTTTTTCAGCTGTGTTGCCACTATTAAAGTTCCAACCCTCGTATATTCGCTTGGCACCTAAAAATAAATACAATTTATTTTTCCGCTCCTATCAATATTTAAACATAATTTAACTTGAATCAAAATTCTGAACATTTCCTAAATTTTCCTTGTATAACAGTTTTCCCTTAACAGATATTGCAAACAAAATAATTTAAGTAAAAGAAGTTCCTTCTTTTCTGAAATCAGAAGATGGAAAATTGCTTCATGCAGTCATCCTTTAACAGTAAAAGCTTAACTAACTGGCTTACTCGGAAATTACCGAATATCTGAAAATTCCGGATAGTCAAGCGTAACTGGTAAAAGAGGAAAGGGGGGTAGATTATGTAGCCGTTCTTTAGATTTTTCAGCTAAATACAGAACAAAGTCTTTAATCCGAACGTCCATAATCTGGAATGATCCATAATCCAGACCTCAAAGCTACAAATTTTCTGCGCATGCATTTAAGCATGCGCATTTAATGTATAACGGGCGGAATAAGCTAGGCTAAAATTATCTAATTCAGTTAATGTTGCAGATTGCGTTGTTCTTTAATCTTCTAATTGGATCCGGCTTATTATTTTTTGCAGACTTTTAGAGCAATTTTATAAAAAGTAAGCTTGAACTTTCGATTATGTCAAAAAGAGTTTTCGATTATGGAGCTGCCAAAGGATCTACAAAGCGAAAGCATATTTCAATGTAGCGCTTCCGATAGTGAAGAAAGTGACAGAGAGGTATTAGAAAACGAAAAAAATTTGATTGACAAGTTAGTCGGTATTCTCGATACAGCAATTGCAGAACTTGAACAGTGGAACTGAACAAGAAATTATGTCTGTTTATAGAATTAGAGAAAATATTAGCACAAAAAAATGAAGCAACTTAAACGACTTACATTGAAAGAAATGTTTAATAAAGTAAACAAATAAATATTAAGCTTTTTTTTTGTACATTTTGATACCCTTTAGATCATAATTGCTTATTTCATAAATTATGGTTTGATATTTTTAATTTTATAATTTCTGCATGCCATTTTACCAGATTTAAATTGATGATCTATAATCCTTAATCGCCAAAGTCCCGACGAGTCCGGATTAAAGACTTTGCACTGTAATGCTTTTGACATTTCGATATGTGCATCATATAAAAAATAGCCCAATGGAACTGAGAAATAATCTTCTTAGGAAGCATAGTATAACTCTTCTATCTCTGCGAAATATCGCAAATGTTATTGCGCAATACGTATGCCTTAATCCTTCCGCACGTGATATTATGCAATCAGAATCAACAGCTGCCAGTTTTCGGAGAATAAATAACTAAATAAAGGAAAATGCCCTTTTGCTTCGTCCGGTTTTCACCATCATGCGCATGTGGCATATTTATCAATGAGCAGAACACGTCGTGCTCAAAGCAATATCCCTGCCATGCTCATATTGATTAATAAAGAGATTTACCAATTTGGGGTGTTTTTCATTCTAATTTTGAACAAACTGCGTTAAATTTCCAGAAGAGAATCATTCTTCGCTTGAGTTGGTATACTGCAGAACTTTTAGTCCTATTCAAACCAGGTTGAAATGTGACCCCCCCCCCCAAAAAAAAGAAAAGTCCATTGCTTACTTTGCTGCAAACAGTACCGGTTTCAATATTCGAGATTTTGTGGAGAAAGGGGAACCCCCAACTTCTGTACTGTGTAATGCATTGGCCAAAAAAAAAAAAAAAAAAAAAAATTATTTTGACTATTCGATTACTTTTTTACCCCAAATTATTCCTTAGAAAATTAATCTGTGTTAAAACACACTTACCCGTTTTTGGAGTTTATCTACACTTCAGCAGTTACTGCAAATATATTATTATAAGTAGTCATACACATGCTCATAATATAAGCACACCGATCATAATAAACACGAATATGAACTGACCACGCGGAATGAGAATGTAAATTAATAAAATTCTTGATAGAAATTCAAACATGTGTAATATTGGGTGAGAGCAAAAGAATACGGAATGTACTGGAATTTTCTACCGCTTTCACATTTCTTTGACCAATAGAACAACATGCATCTGTCAGTACTCGCACGCACCAAAGGTTATGTTAATGCAGGGAAAGCGGCAAAAAGCTATTTCACCATCTGACGTTCCATATGAGGAAGAAAAGTTGTTTATTTAGTTTCAGCTTTGGTACGGAGAAAAAAAATGTGCGTTCGGAAAAAAAAAAAAAAAAAAAAAAAAAAAAAAAAAAAAAAAAAAGCACTAAAAGCAGAAAATAAGCACTAAAAACAAAAAAATTAAGTGCTTTAGAGAAAAAATTAGCACCTATAAGAGCTTTTATATTTTATTTTCAAATACAAGGACTTATAAGCACTTGTAAGGACCGCTACGAACCCTGTATAGCTCAGTCTTTAAATTTTTTGTGACAATACAGTAGCCAAAATATTTATGATACACACAGCTTTACAAAAATAAAAAGATTTTTTCATTTATGGCCTGACCAGTTGCTAGTTCACAGAGTTCTAACCATTCAAAAGTTGATAAATCCTTTATTTTTTAAATTATACATTAAATGTCAGTTAAATTATTTAAAATAATAAATATAATTTCTAATAATTTGTATCTATCTTGCTTTATAACATTTCTAAATCATGTACAGTAGAACCTCAATTTATCATTCTCATAATGAGTGTTTTCTCACATATAACAGTCACCGTTTGTGGTCTCAAATGGAGTTCTATATAAATTATTTCTACATTCATCATAGTTTTACGGCATGAATTGTTTGTATAAAAGATTATAGGGTGTTTCTCAAGCCTTCTTAGCATGCCTTTGTGGTGTAAAGGTCAGCAAGCTCAGCGCGTATTCGAGAGGTCCGAGGTAAGAGTGCATTGCTCATTTTTCACATCTCCACTTCCAAATAAACTAATGTCTCTACAGTGGCACTCTAACTAAAAAAAGGTTGTACATGATGATTCTCCATCACCAGGATTTGGCGAATGCGTCGAAGTACATAGGGCACCGCCTTCTTAGCATGCCTTTGTAGTGTAATGGTCAGCACACTCAGCGCGTATTCGAGAGGTCCGAGTCTCAGCGAGGGCACTGCTCATTTTTCACATTTCCTGCTTCCAAATAACCTAATGCCTCTATAAGAAGCCAAAACATTTTCTTTTATTTACATTACTCTTTCTTTGTACCATACACCTTACAAAATAATAACACAGTAAACTTCAAATTTAGATTTGCACCCATATTATTTATGTCATTTATAATACATAAGTTCTTGGAAGTTACTTCTTTGTAAGTTGTAGTAAGTTTTCAAAAGTTCATTAATAATGCTTTTCAGGGATTTCAGAATTAATTTTCAGTTGCACCTATGAAGAATACAGAGCAAGAAAATAAAAATGAACCAAAATCGCTGTTGAAGTTCACAGACTTATGAAGTATTTTTCTATGTGTAAAGTGGAAGCAGTAGGAATTGTGAAAATATTCTAAATCTTGAAAAGCAACATTTTAATTTGAGGCAAAATTTAGCTAAGAAATAAAGAATTGCCATGAAAGACTTTTTTAAGTAGTTTTTTAAACATTACTTATAAAACAATATACAATAATTTATTAATTTTTTAAAAAATTTATAGACGACTAGTAATTAAAAAAAATATTTATGCCCTTTTTTAAATGATAGGAAATACGCATATTACAAACCGCAATACAGATTAACCATTTGCACATTGTCCAACAGTAGTTTTGCACTTGTTTTAAATCAAAAGATTTCTTTTTGTAATAAAAAAATGGATTATTTTAATTTTAAATTCTTAAAAATCCATGAGAAGCACAAAAGCTTATTATAGAAATAAAACTTATTATAGAAGTAACTACTGAGGCTAAAGAAAAGCATATAAATTATTTGACTTCATTGAAAACCAGAAAGTAATGAATAAAGTCATTAACATAAAAATGCTAAGTTTTTAGTACAAGAAAATTACAAATAAAAAAAGTGCAAAAATAATTTTACTTCTTCTTCAATGATACATATTGAACAATTTCAACCATATTTCTTATATACATATTCGAAGAATTAAAACTGTGGCATTAGTTTGAAGTAAAGGTTTCTAAAATATGACAATATGTATTACTAACTGAAATAAGAATGTTTATACAATAAACTTTTAAAACCACAGATGACAGATTTTATTTCACAATCATTCATTCGATGCATTTTTTCTTTACTGTTCTTGGAAACAACCGTTTCTTTTTCAGTACAATCTTTACCCTTTAATCTTGTTTACATATCACATTTTTTGCTCCCATAACTTAATACCCAGCTTATTTTACTGCCTTCACCATTTCTAACATTTACAATTAAAACAGAGTGTATATCATGAATAAGGATAAAAACATAAAATCTTGTGCTTTCCATCACACAGTTAATACTGTTGTCAGCTTAATGACTAGTATGGCAATGAAAAATACAAAAACTGGTCTTGGGAATTTTCTGGAATATCAGAACTACAATGTTTCTAGTCATCACAATATGCATGTACTTCACATATCACAAAGTGTTTAATCTTGTAACAATTATAACACGCAATGTTTGATCAAAGGAACTGCATACAGCAAGTCCCAGTTTATCAGAATTCCAATCAAACCCTGATATTGGTTGATTCGAAACAATGTTATTCTGAAGCAAATGGACTTCCCCCATCACACCAATTTTAGAGGAGGTATCTTCGCTGCATCTTTCAGGGGGATATTCACTGAAATATATAAAAGATAAAACTTATTTATATGAAGAATCCTTAATCAATCCGCTGATTCCATAATTATTAATATTAATCATTACCAGTTTTCTGTTGCATAAAATGAATTAGAAAATCATTAAAAAAATTCCTTCCATTTCTGCATTTCACAATTCATTAGAATTTAATTTTAAAATTACATATATATGATAAACTATGAAAATAATCTGAGTGTTGTACTTTAAAAAAATAAAAAATTATTGGGAACAAGTTAAAATTCATAGTTATAGCATTAAGAATTTGGCTTTTTTCCAAATACCTTTGCATTACTTTTATTTTCTAATAAAAAAAAAAAAAAAAAAAAAAAAAAAAAAAAACTAATCAAGAAATTTAAATATTTATATTTTTATAATAATAAATTATGTAGTATTTTTATCACATAATTATAAGAAATTTTGATATTCAAATCAAAATCAGTAAAACTATTATCATAAAAATATTCCAAGATGGAAGGATTAACTTTACTTCACATTTTGGAAGAATTTAACTATATTCATTCAATAAAGCCAGCAATTTTTGCTTAAATTTTCTAATATTTTATTAATGATATTATATATGAAAAGTATACTTCCAAGACATATTCTAATTTGGAGTTAGTTGCACACACATAAATACAGAAATAAAATTCATTGAGCTTCTGAAAGCTTAAACAATTATTTTTTTTTCTATACAGATCCATATAATTAAATTCTCTCAGTGTAGCTGAGCATTTAAAAATAACAAGTAACTGTGCAGAATTTAAAAAATGTTTCACCATTAAATTAAATTTGTAGAAACAAAATATTTTTAAAAACACAATGAAAAATTAACTGTTCTCTCTCTGCAAAATGATTTACTTATATACTAAATCAACAGATATTCCTCAAACATTCCAGAAATAAATAAATAAATCAAAACTTGTTGCTTTATTACTGATTACATGCAAATTCATCAAAAAAATTATTTTGAAAATACATTTTCACTGTTGTAAAATATATGAGAAATGATCTATAAGAAAATAATTTTCATGTAGTACCTCTGAACAAAATTTAGAATGAAAATAAAGATGTTATGGGGCTTTTCAGTAATTTGAAACAAATTTATCATTGTTGGTATGGGTTTCTTTACAATAGGATAGAATATAATTCTAATTACTGTTATTTACCAGTTTTAAAAGATAAAACGAACAATCTTGCTATACTTCAGCTTTTGTGATACTTTCCTAAGACTTCTAAACCCTTCTTTTGTTCTTTGAAGATGATTTTTTTTTTCCTTTCTATAAAAGGGGGAAAAAATCAGAAACTCAAAATTCTGCTTTGTGTTTAATATTTAAGTACAAATGTTTATGATTTTCATGTAATTTCCTTAATATTTTCAGATTACTTCGTACGGTATATGAAATGGCATTACTTTTCGAGAAGTTAACTCAGTTTGCACGGTGGTATGGAAAAGATTTTTTGTCAAGATTGGCAATATTTCTCCTTATTCTTAATCTTAAAGCAATGTAAATTTCTTTTATCTGGCATAATGAGAGAGTTTACATAACAGGCTCCTTCCTGCCTGAGTTACTGACCTTGGTGCTACAACAGAATATAGGAATTAATATACAGTCAAAAGTCGTTAATCCGGACTCGTCGGGGACTTCGGCGATTCCGGATTATCGATTTTTTCGGATTATAGATCATCAGTTTAAATCTGGTAAGATGGCCTGCAGAAATTATAAAATTAAAAATATGAAACCGTAATTTATGAAATAAAGAACAATTATGATCAAAAGGGTATCAAAATTTACAAAAAAAAAGCTTAATATTTATTTGTTTACTTTATTAAACATTTCTTTCAATGTAAGTTGTTTAAGTTGCTTCATTTTTTATGTGATAATACATTCTCTTTAATTCTTTAAACAGACATAATTTCTTGTTCAGTTACAAAGTTCCGCTGTTCAAGTCCTATAATTGCTGTGCCGAGAATACCGACTAATTTGTCAATGGAAATTTTTTCGTTTTCAATAACCTCTGTCACTTTCTTTGCTATCGGAAGCGAATTATAATGACGAGGAATTTGATTTAAATCATATCAAAGATGGAGTACATCGAGATGAAATACTACATTTAATAAGAAATTATAAGCCAAATAAAATAAAAACATCTGCCCTGAAGATAAGGATAGTGCTGACAGATCAACTTCCAATTCATTGCGTGGCGCCGCAGAGTTAAAGATAAACAGAGTTTAGATAAACAAACGTTGAAGTTTAGATAAACAAAGGATATGCCTTTATCCATTTTTTGTAGCAATTCCACTTTTTGTTTAATGAACTTCGAAACATACTTTCGCTTTGTAGATCATTTACATATTAATAAATATATATCAGAAGTTCTATATGACATAATTGAAAGTTCAAGCTTACTTTTATAAAACTGCTCTAACAGTCTGCAAAAAAATAATAAGCCGGATTCAATTCGAAGATTAAGGAACAATGCAATCTGCAACATTAACTGAAATAGATAATTAAATAATTTTAGCTTAGCTTATACCGTCCGTTATACATTAAACGCACACTCGTAAACGTATATTTTGTGCACGCACATAAGCATATTCTCAGCCGTAAAGGCCTCACGCGCATGCGTCGACGCGACGCATGCGCAGAAAGTTTGAAGCTTTGAGGTCTGGATTATAGATCATTCTGGATTATGGGTGTCCGAATTAACGACTTTTGACTGTATATACTATTATCTTTTACATGTTTGTAAGCGGCCAATTTAGGCCAAATGGAGTAATAATTTTAGTACACTTAGCTACCATTTGTTTTGATGATTCGCTGAAAATTAAATATGTTTTATCATAATATTTGCAGAGGTTATCCCAATGATACAATGAATATTATTCACTACTATCATGACTCCTGCACTTTTTTATATACATGTACATATATAAAAGAAACACTATAGTCAGGCCAGCAGTCTCTATGGTAAGCAAAGTGAAATTATTTTTCCAAACATGCCCCTTATGCTTATTTCCTGTCATGGGAATAAAATGTTTTGTCCCAAATCATGCAATACTCTCTGACTCATCATTATATAGCAAAATATTTTGCAAACTTTTCAACTTTTTGCATCCCCCCAAAATTTTTAATATGTTTTCGCACCTATTAAAGTAGCTTTTTTTTAAAAAAAAGGGGGGGGAAGAGAAGAGAAAGCAAGAAAACAAAGTTCTAGAATCATATTTTAATGATAAATAAATATTAAACATGAAAACAAAATATTTCAAAAGAAATTAAAGCTTTTGTTCCTATTTATTGGATAAATATTTTTCAAATTGTGGCACTTTAGTGCTAATATGATTTAATAATGCACTTTAGTGCAATTTGCTTATCTGCTTGTATATCTAAGAAAATTCCGAATTTTATTTCGATTGACAAAAGGGCACCAAATCAAGACTTGCATGTCACCACAAATGGGATGAACACCATTAGTACCTTTTCACTAAGTTTTGGAAATACATTCACAGGCAAACAGAATATTGTTCCAAAGTATTGCTTTTAAACTGCATTTCATGTAATTTTTAACAATTATTTAATTTCTTTTAATAATGCAAAATAATGTTATTTTAAATTATAAATAAAAATATTATCTCATATCGCCTAGAATGCTACATCACAGCCCTGGTTGGAAAACCCTGTTATATAGGATTATCAATGATATTCTGTATGAAAAAGAAGAATTGAATAAATAACAACCACCATAAGCAGACTGGAGGCCCGGTGGCGCAGTAGCTAGCGCATCGCGCAGCAGCACCACAGGTCCGGGGTTCGAAACCTGGGCTGGGCAAGGTTCGATTCCGCCTTTCATCCCTTGGGTCGATAAAATGAGTACCAAGTTCGCTTGGGGACTAAACAATGGGGGTCCTGTGACAAGCTGACCATTTGTTCAGGGCATATGTTTACGCACCCTGGGGCCCAGGGTCAAGAAAGCAGATTTCGGGGCACTGCACGCCTTGGCCCATTAGGGCTGTTTGCAACACTGAGTTTTTATAAGCAGACTAAATTTTAATGCAGATTTTTAACAGATATAATTTTAATGCAGATTTGCAGCTTGAGATTAATGATTCATTTTGCTTTACATTATTAATATTATTTTGTATTACATTATTATGGGTCATATATTTGACTTAAATAACAGTGTAATACATGAGATTAATGATTTATTTCATTTTACATTATTAATATTATTTTGTATTACATTATTATGGGTCATATATTTGACTTAAATAACAGTGTAATACATGAGATTAATGATTTATTTCATTTTACATTATTATTATCATTTTGTATTACATTATTATGGATCATATATTTGACTTAAATAACAGTGTAATATATATATACTTTTTCCTCACACAACAGACCTCAATTTAAACTAAATCTAGGTAAAAAGGTTTCCAGAGTAAGAAGTGGGCTATAAGCAGAATCTACTCTCTCTCTCTCTCTATATATATAAAGAAGAAAGTTTCTGTGTTTGTCTTCTAATAACTCAGTCACTACTATAGCTATCATCACCAAACTTTCTACAATTCTTTTCTGCTCCTGGAAAAGGTCAACGTCCACTTTTTTCCAAAAAAATTAGCTAAAATTAGAGATAATAATTAAAAACTTGGAAAAATGATAATTTTTGCCCTCATTTTTCCAAATGGCAACAGTCTCCCAAGCTGGAGATGAAAATCTTCTTTATTTCAAAAGTTATTGCCACTGCTCACTTTCAAATAAAAATTTTTCAATAAAAGTTTGTTAACAGAAAATTTCCAAGTTTTACAATGAAATAAAAATTGATTTGCCAAACATTAAATACATTATTCCCAATTCCAAAAATTCGTGGGAAGCCATTTTTTGACTGTGCACGACTTTAATCAGCTGAGATATTAATTAAAAACTCTGATAAATTTAATTAATTTTTGCACTCATTTTTCCGAGTGGCAACAGTCTCATAAATTGGAGATCAAAATGCTTTATTTTGAAAAGTGTTACTACTGCTCGCTTTCAAATTGTAGAGTTTATTAATAAAAAATTTGTAAATTTTACAAAATCTATATATATAAGGAAGAATGTCTGTTTCTGTGTTTGTTTGTTCACGTTATTGCTTTCTGATTAATTATGATAAATTTTTTGCCACATTTAATCGACTAAAATTGAATATATGTGAAATATTGGACAAAACTTGAGCTTTTATGACCATTTGATTACAAAGGCGAAAATAATTAAAAAACTGCATGCCATTGTTGCTGATATAATAAGAGAGAAATAGTTTATTTTCCTATCACAATTTTTTATGTGGGTTCCATAATGCATCAGACTGAAAAATGTATGAGTATGAATCGTATATTTTGCATTGTTATAAGAGAAGGATTACAGCGGTATCATTCTCTCTGTTGTTAGAGATCTGAGATGTTCTCAATCTAACTTAACTGCCATTGGGTACTTCTGCTAATACTAATTAAAATAAAATTCTTCTAGTGGGGTTATTCCTTTTTAAAAAGCAGAAATGATATTTTTTAAAGAATATGAAATAACAATTGATTGTAGAGACTGAAATACTAAGCACACATTCAGGTTTCATTTTAAACCGTTATCAGGAATAACAGACAAAAGAGTAAATATCTAACATAAAACGTATAAATTAATAAATTTTTAGACGAAGATATATAATTTATGATAATAAAATTCTATTAATGTATTCAATCTACTTCTAAATTACATATTAAAGCACAGAATACTCACTAGTTCCATAAACAAAGGGATCCTGATCCACCTGTTGTCATAAATATATCTCTGTTTTGTGGGAGATGACGTGCAAGCCAGACAGTAGATTTATGAGCCTTACAAAAATATTAAAAAATTATATAAAACATCTAATATAGTCATGTAGGTTTAGCATAAGTGATATAAACTGTAAAAACTGACTTCGTTAATGACAGACCACATTTAATATGTTCATTTTGTTTCAATAATGAATAATTATCCAAGAAAAGAAAAATAGCATGCATTTGGAACCTAATGTTGCAAATTATGGGTTTAGTCAAACCATTTGAAGGGGGGGGGAACTATGAAAATTTATATCAGCTTGAACTGATTAATATTTCTCTCAGATAACATAATTATCTATAAGCAGCTCAATGAGAACATAGATATATGTTAAAATCTTACTTAACATAAGAAGAATATCACAGAATCACAAAATTGTGCACACAGCAAAAATTCAAGCAGTAATCACATTTGCAACCTAAGCTTAACAGCATAGCAAGTTGCAAAGATTATGAATCAAACTGATTCAAATTCCAAAACATATTTACATCATTGCCTTATACCACTGGAACCTTCCAGAAAGTTTAAGAATTCAGAAATCAACAAATGTCACCAATCTGGCTACAAAAATCATCAACAAGCACTGGTATGCTATGTTTTGCCCATATATCCACTTCTTCTTAAGCTATCTTTATAATTTTCCACATGATTTGATTGAGAATTATAAGTTCTACAAAATTAAACTTCAAACAAATATGAACATAATAAGTTACCATAAATTCAAGATTAAACAAAATACATAATAAATGACCATAAAATTATACAAAATGCTAAATGAACAAATAAAAACAAATTAGAAATATATGAATACAAACATTTACATACAGTTTCAGATATAATACAAAGTATTCAAGTGGTAATAAGGTGGCACAAAATCTTATTTCCATTAATAACAAAACACAACTATAAAGTTTTTTAAAACAGCGAATTTCCTGAGTTTCAGCATTGGAGACAGAACAGTTTTGGGGGGTGGGGTAGAATATAATTTTTTATATGGTTTTAACAGAGCAAAATACAATTATAAAATGTGCATTACATCCTAGTAAGTTAAGTGCAAAATGTTTCATGCAAAATTTAGTGAAATATTGCTAACTGATAATTTCCTGGGGGCAGTTACCATAAATTAATAACTAGATTTTACCCAATCTAGTTTTATGATTGCAGTTTTTCTAAGCTTCAGTGAAAATGTAATTTTGGTTGAAGATATGTAATGAAAAGTAATTTAAGTCATCAAATTTGTTTCAAAATGGCTTCACAAATTTTGTGCACAAAAGTATGGAATTTCTTGTATTTAAATGCATTAAACATTTAAAATATTCATTCTACTAATTGGATATCTTAGTCTGTGGGGACAATTTAAATATTAAATTTTACATTTTTGAAATCATTCTCATAAAATTTTTTAAATGGAATTTTATAAACTAAAGTTGTACCTTCCAATAGGGAACACCTAGCGGACCAGACATTTTGTCCCTTACATAAAGGTGTCCCTTCTTTAGAAGGCACATTCTACAATAATGTCATTTAATTAGAAATTCAAATTATACATAAATAAGTAACAGTCATAAGTATTTATTTGAATTTGAAGTTGATGAAAAATATTAATAAAAAAAGTTTAATTATTGCAAAAATGCATGAAATGAATAACAACAGAGTTTTGTACTTACATAAATTTATTGAAAATAATACATCATACAGGTTTATCTGAAAGTCTGTGCCTTGCTAGCATTTTTCGTCACAATGATATTAAAGTCACTGACGATCTTAAGTCCTTCACTGTCACTTACAGTTATCATCAGTTTTCTTAATTGGGAGGCATATTTTAAGGCACCTGTATAGTTTATGTCACTCTTTTCATCTGGCTCTTTTTTATCTTTCTTACTGCTTTCCAATTTATTTTTGTTAAAGCTCACATCATTAACTACAGTTGAAATAAAAAATTTCATGTCATCATTGGTGTCTTCAGTACACAAGTTTCATCAGTTTCTTAATAGTCTTGCATTTGAGCACTGCCATTAATTTTGACAAATTCAAACAATTCATTTCCATGACTAATATTTTTACTAAAGCACTCAAAACTGGAATTTCCCTGATATCTTAAAACATTGCTGAACACAACTTACTGATATGGATTTAACAGCCTTTGTTATTCACTGAATGGCATTCAATACATTGATGTATTTGGAAACTAATCGCTGTTTCCGCAAGCAGTTTGACAAAGAACACACCACAACAGTTTTCTGTAATGAACTTTGAAGCTTATACTGTGGTCCAAAGGTTATAATACTGGGTGTAGTATTAGGTGGAGAAAATACTAATTTCACTGATCTCAGTTTTACATTTGGTGGGTGGGCTGGCGAATTGTCAAAAGATTCTTATTTTTTCTAGACACAGTTGCCTCATGAACAATCGACCCTTCTGACATTATGCTTTGTGTCATCCATGACTTTTTATTGTGATACCAATGCATTGATAAAGCTTTTGGATTTTTCTGAAGTACCTTGGTTTTCTTGCCTTTTCAGTTATAAGTGGTTGCTCAAACCTTCCTTTCATTCAACAACAAAGCAGCACAGTGAGACATTCCTTGAAGCTTTTATCAGCCATTTTTTTATGAAGTACTTTTCTCTTTTAAAGCATAGAGTTTTATTAGGTAAACTTCGATAAAATAACAAGTTTCATCAGCACTGTAGATGTTCATATGGCCTCGTATCCTTCACAAATTTCATTTAGCTTTTTTATCCAATCTGTTACGTGTTGCATAGCTACTGACTTTTCCTTACCACAAATATTCTTAAAAGCAATATTATGTCTTTGCTTAAATTTGTTTAACCAACCATTTGATGATTTGAAGTTCTGTAGTCCCAGACTTTCCGAAATTTCTTTTGCCTTTTCTTGCAATTATATGCCACTTACAGAAATACTGTTTGCTCTTACACAAAAAAGACAGTTGTACATTACTGTATCAATTTCAATTGCTTCAGTTTTTCTAAATTTTAGTCTTGTAATGTTCCTTTGAATTAGTAATCCATAACGTTTTTATTTCTTTTCTCTTTTAGCACATAATTTGCTTGAGTTTTACTTATTCCAAATTTCGACTCTAAATTTCTCAAAGCAAGCTTTTTAATTTCTGCTACATCAATTACATCAACCTTTTTGTTTTAATGTTAATCTTTTCCTCTTTGAAGCCATGCTAGATAACACATGTAAAAATAACACACAAATACAGACAACACTTCTTTTGCTCCCCAGTTCTAATAAGAACTAAGAATGATAAAAATTATCACTCACTAAACATTACGAGATCCCTGTGCCTTGGCAGATGCTTCAGTCATCTTACCAACTTTTCTTTCCCATTGATTCCTGTCTTGGTTTGTCTTACCACTTGCTAACACTGTTTTATTTTCCCTACTTAGAAATGTAGCAAGAAAAACTGGATTTTGAATTTTGTGAATGTAAACTATCCTGTCGATTGCAACACAAGTTGCTTTTTTACCAATGTATTGTTTCCCTTTCCCCTACTGAAAACAATTTCAAAAAGAGAGGATTATGTTTTCATTTTATTGTTTCCTTGTCACAAAACTAACTTTCATAGAACACAAACTTGCCTTTGAAACCTCAGAAGATTACTGACAAAGAGTATTTCCATTTTTATTTATTTCTCTATCTTATTTTTGAAACTTTTTATCAGTGTTTCTTAGTAGGAGGTAAATACATTAATGTCTCTATTCAAAGGAATCTACAGAATTGTCCTTTACAGGAGGTACTATATCAAGAAGAATAAATATTTATATAAATACATATTTTCTCAACACTTTATCTATTTATGTATATACACATTATCCACAAAAGTCGCTTAAGTGGCCTTTATTTCCCCAATCCTTGGCGTAAATATATATTTCCAATAACAGGATAATTTGAAATGATGCAAATATTCATGTTCTGACATTTTTAAACTAAAAAATTCATTGTGTACATATTGCAATATCTATTTTTTTTTTTTTTTTTTTTTTTTTTTTTTTTTTTTTTTACAGTCCCTCAGTTTCTATCTTTATGTTTAAGAAAAGTAAAAAATAAAATACATCTAATCTTTAAAATGGTTCTTTAGTTCCAATCTGTATTTAAGAAAAATTTTATACTCATTGTAAAAGTTTAATTCAGATATACCAAAAATTGACAGAGATATTTAATTTCAAAATATAGGACTTTTGATGTCATTAACCGACTTGCCTTGGTTCAGTTTAAAAATGAATTATAATAAATCAAGATGATTTTTTCCCCCAACTAAATGTGATTCAGTGATATTCTTTTATGATTTACTTTTCTGTAACATTCTTCAATTTATAATTTTATTACATATGGTCTGCCAAAGGTATTTTCATGTAAGTGATTTATAATCTATCAAATGCTGAAAATAAGGTATTACTATTCTAACACAGGTTTATTACATAATCATAATCTAATAGTAATATAAAATTAATTAAACTAAAAATATTTTTAATTTTTAATTTATGTTACAAGTTGCTCTGTACCAATACTGTGGTATGCTATGGTTTTCTAGAATATAAATTCCATAAGACTGTATGAATAAAATCTTTTTGAAATATATATACTGATTGTGACAATTTGCATAGCAAAGCTTGTTACTTAATTGCAAACATTAGAAACTTTTCCAAAGCCGATATTTCCTTTCTAGTTATGTGCAATTGCAAATGTTTAATTTTCCCTTTACAACAAACCCCGAATATGATATGAAATCTTAAAATTAAATATCTAGGAAAATTTTTGTGTTATAGAAGTTAAAGTTTTCATATTTTAAATTTTACAGTTGGCATACACTTTTATTAAACATAAAGACAGGGACTAGGATACTGCAAAAAAATTAAGATATTATAATAGTTACAAGAATTTTTAAAATGTAAAAACTAGCATAATATTTCATACATTAGCATACAGTCAAAAAAGAATGCAGATGATTTCACTAATGAAACTGTAAAATGTATTCATTTAGTATCAT